TCTAGCTACAGTGGGGTCTCTACTTAAGAACGTCTCTACTTAAGAACAATCCAACTTAAGAACAGCTCCATTTGCTAAATTTTGCTTCTACTTGAGAACAGAAATCCAAGATAAGAACAGGAAAAAAACCTTTCCTGCTCTTTTTTTAACCTTAGGTCATCTTAGGTTAAAAAAAAATTCTCCCCCTAGTGGTAGAGTACATATTAACCAGCTTTGCATTAGTTCCTATGGGAACTAATGCTTCAATGTACGAACGCACCTCTACATAACAAAAAAAAAGCCAGAACGGATTAATTGGTTTTCAGTCCATTCCTATGGGAAATTTTGCTTCAACTTAAGAATGTTTCAACTTAAGAACACCATTCCAAAACGGATTAAGTTCTTAAGTAGAGGTTCCACTGTAGTTTCTATGGATGGAAAAGAGCAGATACGGATTAAATGGTTTTCAATGCATTCCTATGGGAAATGCAGATTCAACATAAGAACTTTTCAACTTGAGAACCACCTTGCAATACGGATTAAGTTCTTAAGTAGAGACCCCACTGTACATGTGAGTCCCACCCCCAACCCAGCACCCCAAAATATTCCCTTCCTTATTTCTGAGTCACTTTTTTCACTTGTAACCAGAAAGATACTTCATCATCAGGATAAGAAACTAGATAGACAAGTTGCTAACAGAGGAAACAAGCATACTTCCGCCATCCTGCAATGAAATACTGCAGTATATCCTTGCTATTTATTTTTTGGTCATATGGCTCGTTGAATTAAAAAGAAGAAACACCAAAATTGTAATGGTGTGCTACAATATGCAAAAAATTTCATGGTTAAAATGTTATAAGGATATCTTAGTCCCTGCTCCCATAATACTGTATGTTCTTTCACCTGAGATAAAACTCATAACACCTTTATTATGTGGAGCCACAGATTGGAAACAGATGAGATATTCCATTCAGACTTCACAAATCTTCATTCCATCATAAAGAGGAAACTATACCATTCCAAACAGCAGATTCAGATTCTGGATACTACTGTGCATTACACAATTGATACATAAACCCTAAACCCTATTTTGCTTTTGAAAAAAACTGAACCATTACACCCCTATATGTTTTCACTTTCCAATCAGAACTGTAAAATGCACCATCTGAAGCCAAGCTATATTGCACAGCCAAGCAGAGTGGATAAAATTCAATGATTTAAAATATATATATATCAAATTAATTATAATTTAAATCGTGATTTAAATCACGACTTAAATTTTAAAAATCAATGTTTGATTTAAATCAACAAAAAACTGATTTTTAAAAATTTAAATCAAATTCATTGAGCAAACCAGGTCTACTCTGACTCATCATAAAGAAGCTAACGGGCTTCCACCAGCCATTTCTTAGGCTACAATTAAGTGAAAAAGATCAACAAGCCCAGAATAGCACAAAAGAACAATCTACTACAGGACAGACCTCAAAGTGAAAGTGATAAAACTTCATTTCTTGTCACCTATAGTGCCAATTAAGCTACTTCAGTGCATAATCTGCCATGTACCCTGTAGAAGGCGCACTGTTCTTTATACAAAAGTCCCTAGACTAAAATTGCTACCCATTAACCTAATAGAAGCATGGATATGTGGACATGATCCCACAACAAATCCAGATATCTACCCTCTCCCTACACCAAGCAGAGCTCAGAAATAACTAGTTACAAATGTACTTTTATTAATTCCTTGTTGCAATATCTAAGGCGTAACTAAGTGAAAATATACCTGTAACACACTAAGGAATTATGTCACCCAGTTCTGCAATGCAACTATGAACTATTTTAGCTCCCCTTATAGTTACAAGAATTCTACTTATTTTATGTGCCTGTACCACAGACCAAGGATTTGCAATATTCCTCTGTTTAAAAATAGTAATTAAAAGTAATAATTTAGCTACTCTTGAATATTAAGGAAGTGGAGAGTTGGACTTAATATGTATTGTAGATATATCAAAAATGACTATAAGTGGAACCCAGGGGACACAGTGTTAAACAAGTATGGACAGACTTTGTAAATAATAAAAAAAATTAAAAAGTGGAGTTATTTTAATAATAGCTCTGCCCAAAATAAAAGCAAAAGAGTTATGGCATCCTAAAGACCAAGACTTCTTTCAGTGTGTCTCACTTTTGTTTCTGAGGAAGTGAATTTTTAAAACATGAAAGCTCACACTGAAATGAAAATTATAGTCTTCTTTAAGGGGTCACAGCTTTTTTATTTCCATTTCCAGAAAAAGACTAAAACTTTGAAAATTAAAATAATAATATGCCAATAACTAACTACCTTTGGGACATTTTTTAAAACAATAACTGATTTTTAGAAGTAAATTAGTAATTATTCACTATTTATGCTTATTCTTAATTGGGTGATGCAGCATCAGGAGGAATGAGGATTTTTCAAAAACTAAAAAGAGACCCTGATATTGAAATGTTTGGAAATGGGAATAATGGTTTCCCCATCATTTTATATTCACATATAAACAGCACATGATGTATACTAGACTACCTCTTTGTGCCAGTCTGCCTTTGGACACTGGAAATCTCAGGCTCTCACTGGTGGTGTCAGCAACAGATTATTACTTTGAACTGAAAGAGAGTAGAAAGGGGCTCCTGCACAACTCGAGCAACATAAGATGGCAACAGAAATAAGGTGATGGAAGGCAAAACCAAGTGGAGCTGATCTCAGCCATCTGTGATATCATGCAGGCTTCAATTGGGCTTATGGAAAATGTTTAGGGATGTTTTCCCCCTTACCTACTACTTCTCAACAAGGGACTGTGGTTATCTGGAAACTGAGCCATAGCAACTGGACTTCTTTCTTGTTAGGTTGAAACGTTTTGCTACTCATCCAAGCAGCTTCTTTAGTCCAGATATCACACCTGGATGACCGAGAATCTTCACATAAGGGACTGTGGTGTTACCACACCAGGATGACTGAGAATCTTCACATAAGGGACTGTGGTGTCTGGTCTCAAAGATTTGCAAAGTGGAGGTACAGGTGTCAATACAAACTCTAGCATTGCTCAGGAGAGTCATACAAGGTAGTGTGTGAACATGAGCCACAATTCAGAGGTCTACAAACTCTGAACAGTTTTCTCATATGTCCCTTTTAGTACCTGCTCAAACACTGTTTATGAATGAAATCTTCTCAGTTATAAAGGACTGGCTATCAAAATCAGGTTATACAGTAATAACATTCAGAGTTTCACTGATTACCTGGAAGAATTTTAAACAATCCAAGCTGAAAAGGGAACAATGCTCACCAACTGATTTCTGATGCTGTCCACATACTCACAGGAATATTATTTGCCAGGCTGAAGCAATACATCCCCACTGTTCAGAAGACTTCCAATTAAACCTGAACCCATTTATTGCCAAGTGGAGAACTGCTTTGTTTAATCAGAGAATTGCACCCTGCAATGTTTACCTTAGCTACCCATATATCTGCAAGATACACATTCACCAAAAACACTGAAATAAATCATTTAAGCATGCATTGTTGCAATCTAACATACAGTCTCTTATACATTCTTTGAAAAAAACAGGAATAAATTTATATTGTTCTTTCTTTATCTGCAAGAGTTAAAAAGTCCAGAAGGTAGAAATCAGGACCAAGCTTATGAGACAAACACAGGTCTTATGACAAAGGTTCTGTTGAACTTCCACAACAAATGTTGCTTCCATTGTTAGATTATATAAATTGGCATAAAAATCCATGTCTTCATATGGTGCAAATACAATTTAAGAATCTAAATATATTTATGACTGTTGAGACCATCCTAAGTTAATACTATCACCATAATTTGTAGCTGTTAATCCCACAAAGTTTACCTTTTTTCTAAACTATAAAGTTCCAAACACTATAGCCTTTTTTGATAGAGAAGATGCACTCACTGGGTTCAATGTTAAAGAATTTCATCGAGAATGTAACAAAACAGATGCTGACACTGAAGTTAGGAGGCATGTCCTCTCCCCCCCCAGTGAACATGTTCACTAGTATCCTGGGGAGTCTTCTCACTATGGTGGAATAACTTTATCTGACTTAATATAGCAGCAATTCCCCATAAAGCAAAGCCTGTAATTTCTGTGAGTGTTCAGTTCATAGTTTTGGAAATGTTTTTTACTGACACCCATACAAATTAAGATCATGAACACTGAAAACATTACAGTACAGCATTCTACTTTATCTTAGTTTTTTTGTACCCACATGACACCCATACAAATTAAGATCATGAACATTGAAAACATTACAGCATTCTACTTTATCTTAGTTTTTCTGTGCCCACGCCTTTATAGTCTCCAGGAACATCCTACACATACCTCCAGTTGCAAGCATATAAATCAGCTAGCCCTCACACCTTAAACAGAGTTAGATTGCCTGAGCTCATTGAGTCCAATAATCTTAAGTCCACCTCACTCTCCATACTGTTGTACTGTGGGTTCCCTGGTCCACAATTCACCTAATTTTTAAGATGTCATCTCCCTTACGTTAAAAGAGGCAAGACAAGTACATACTATTATCCCAGACGGCAAAAAGCAAGGCATGTGAGGAATTGACAACAACCTAAAATGGAAAGTGACTATGCCTGGGCCGCACTCTCTACAGGATTCTTCTCTTGTCGGGCACAGAGCAGACTATCACGGATAACCCTCCAGAATCTGTCGGGACTTTTAACATGTAATGACAAAAATATTTCGGAGTAAATAAGCTTGAGCTGCAGATATAGAAAAATCTGCCTCCTGGCGCGTCTTGGAGCGACAAATATCTGCCGGCTCCTCGGGGCGAGAAGCCAGGATCCCTGTCCCATCCCACCCTGAAGGGGCGAGAGTCCCTCATCTCCGTTCCGGCAACCGACCTGGAACCCCTCATTTCCCCGGAACATTGCAATTTCTCAAGAAAGAAGACGAAAGAGTCTTGTTTTTTCCCCCTCTCCTCTCGCTTCCTTTAGAAAAGCCAGCCCGTCACCTACCCCGCTGCCCGACGCCATCTTGCCTGCGAAGCGTCCCGGAAGCCGACCAACGTCACGCCCCCTCCGACCAATCGCGAAGGTCCCCAGGAGGGACCGGAACCATAGAGGTCAGGGAGGAGCGCCTCTCCTTCGCCCAGCTATGGAGGCACGTGAATGGAGGGGAATGACCAAAAGAGGTAGAGTAAGCCTTCGCTTCCCGGTTCGTCTGAGACCTTCATTTCACCACGATGTGCCGTGGAATAGCGATATTCTCGCACGCCTGTGAATGGAGCACAGCTCTCCTCAGCTTTCCAGAATTCCTGGAAGCAGAGGTCTTTTGCATGCACTGTACAGTGCATTTTCTGTCGGTGTCCTGTGTGTTTTTAATATGGTTGTGCAAAGAATCCGAGTCATTTGGACCCACAATTAACAAATCGATCCCTCTTGAAATATTTGATTATCTTAATAGGTGACCTTTTTTGACGGCTGTCTGCATCTTCCTTAGGAAGCACTGCAACCAGTTGTGAAGCTGTATGTGATCTAGAAACACCAAGTTAAGTGGGAGCTTTTCAGATCGTAGGGGGTGCAAATTCCTTCCTGTTAGCTTCAGCGCTCTAATCTGAAACAGGGATATCTTAATGTGGGGTGGTTGCAAACTGTCCTCCGGAGGTAGGGCTGTTATGTGTCGTCAAGCCATTTCCGACGTAGGGGGCGACCTTAACAGGGCTGATATGTGAACTAGTTGGAAAGTGGTTTCCACCCCCATCCTACTGCCTTTCTGTGGCCGAGCAGACACTCTTCAACCCTAATCCGACACTACCCACTTCATACACCTGCTCTCAGCCTCTCCCCGAGTTCTCTCCCTACCTTAACTGTATTGCAGGCGATCATAAACATATTCTCAACTCTGCTTACTTTTATTAATTGACAAATGTTATTTGTAAACGTGTGTTATTATAAGCTGTATTTACATTTTTAGAAAAAAAAACCCTTTTAAAACTACTTCTTAAGACCCGAGTATGAAAAAGTATTTTCTTCCACACAATTCTTGGTGGGAAAGTGAGGTGATTACTGTAAGGTGATCCTAAATCACAGCTAAAACAAAAGGCTCGGTTTCTAGTGAGCAACAGTCAGTTTTATCCCTTTGATGAGAAAAGAACATGGTACAGTATGTGAGTAACTAGGACGCTTCGTCCCTAGTCAAAGTGGTTAGTCTATATTGAAGTCTAGGGCCGCAGAGTGAGAAAGCCCACTGCCGGTGAGGGAATCGCTCTCTACACATAAAGGTGTGTCTTCTCTAGCCGGAAATTCTTCCGTAGGAAAGTTTTGTCTATGGTTTCTCACAATGAAAGATTCTGGTTTTCTCCTCGGTTAAGAATCTTTAGTCTCTCAGCCATTTCAGCTGCGATATGTGCTCAAAGCTTTTGATTTTAATGAAACTATTTAATGGGCTCAATATCTCATCTGCAGAGCAGAGCGGTGAGAATAATTCAGGTACAGTATTAGGAGGTCTCTTCTAGAGGACAAAGTAATGGAATTAGACCTGGGTTTCAAATGTTGCACTGCCACAAAGCTTAGGTTGTCCTTAGCTAGCTGCGTCGGTCGGTTTAAACTGGAGGTGGGTAACGTGCAGCCGTTTAGATGCTGTGGATTGCAACTCGCATCAAAGCTAGCCGGCATTGCTAGAATAAGGGATGCTGAAATATGCAGGCCAACAACCTATGGAGGACTACACCAGTGGTTCTTAACCTTGGGTTACCCAAGTGCTTTTGAACTGCAACTCCCAGAAACCCCACCCAGCACAGCTGGTGGTGAAGGCTTCTGGGAGTTACAGTCCAAAAACACCTGGGTAACCCAAGGTTAAGAACCACTGGACTACACTTTGCAAAAAGGGAAAAGAGGGTGGGGGAATGAATTGCCTTGATGTCTATGGAGGAAGAGTAGTACTGTATAATAATGTAATAAACCAAAGTAACAATGTATGAAAAGTAAAAGACTGTATCAAAAAGCACTGTCATTACGCATCCTGTGAACTTTGCAGACTCGTCAGCTATTTGCACTTTGTCCCTGGATTCAAATACACTCTCCAGGGCATGTGAGGACATCTGTGACATCACAGTCTCTGAGCAATACAATCATTGTTTACAAGACATGAGACTAACATGACTGTGTAACTACCCCACTAAAGTTTTTGTTTTTGTCAATCAGCTATGTTCTTCATGTTGTCTACACAGTAGTGATGTCTCCTACCAACTAGAATGCAAGCAGCTTCTCATATCTGGGGCTATGAAGATCTGATACATGCACACTAGGAAACATCAGTTCTTGATCTCCATTGTGTAGAGTCCCTGCCATGCATTGGATCAAGCTCTTCCTCCCAAAGATTTCCTGCAGAAGGCAGCATCGGCCTATATGGCAGTTTTGCATCCAACGGGCATTTTCCAGTCATTTTCCAAACCAGGTGTGTTTCAATTGGTGCATTTTCCTCTTTGCTATTTCATTAGCTACAGGTATGTAGGGTTGAACCATATGCCTTATTTCAATATAGGAAAGAACATTTGGCAAAAGCCGAATGATCCTCCTCTCATGCTCAGGAGGATTGTGATAGGAAGGAGCATTGTCATAGCTTGTGCATGTTTGGATTTTAGGGATTTTTAGGTATGATTCTGTGGCCTTACAATTATGAACAGATTACCCAGCCTTTGTTCTCATTGATTAAGGTCTATCAAAGGCATTCCAAAAATTAGCAAAATAAAAAATACTCATATAATTTCTAACAGGATAGCTGTACAGTGGACCCTCGACTTACAGACGGCTTGACTTACAGACTTTTCGAGTTACAGACTTCTCTGGCGGCAAAATTTAGATTCGACTTGCAGCTAGAGAATCGACCTACAGACCAGGAAAAAACCAAAATGGAACAAAAATAGAATAAAAACTGCCAGTTATGGGATTAATCGGTTTTCAATGCATTGTAGGTCAATGGAGATTCGACCTACAGACTTTTCGACCTGCAGCCACCGTTCCAATACGGATTAATTCCTTAAGTAGAGGGTCCACTGTAGTAGACTGCTGAGGGAAAAAAACAACAGAGTTCTTTGGCACTTTGAAGACGTAACCCCACTAAATCAGATGCAAGAAATGTTATCCAGAATTTGGGACATATTTAGACTGGGGTTGGGGACAAATTGATTATAGACAGTGAGGGAAGTCAAGTGCTGTGCTATGGGAGTGTTGATCATATGACTCTTTGTTATTCATGGAATATTTATTTTGGATATCTTCACAGTCACTGTATTAATTGTTTTCTACAACACTCCCATTGTCTGTAATGTTCTACTTATGGGAGAACCACATCAGCTGTTGGTAGAGCATATGCTTTGGATACATACATGTAGTACCAGGTTTAATTAGTGTTCTTTTTTTTTTCCTCTAGTTCAGTGGTTCCCAACCTCGGGTAAGCCAGGTATTCTTGTATTGCAGCTCCCAGAAACCCCAGCCTGCACAGCTAGTGGTGAAGGCTTCTGGGAGTTGCCCTCCACAAACACCTGGGTTACCAAAAGTTGGGAATCACTGTTCTGGTTAAAAATATTTGACCTAGCCAGGCTTAGATAGATCTTTCTGCCTGATAGCCTCGGAGATCTATTGATACATAAAACTGGATAAAATCTACCAATGGCTGAGTGTACATGGCAATTTCATGTGTTGTTCATAGACTGAAAATGTTGCATGGCTCAGTGATGATGTACAAGATAACATTTTCAGGATTTTGAGCAAATGGAATAAATCTATTCCAAAATATTACCCTTAAACACAGTGATGATTTTCATTTAAAACTCCTCATTTGTCAATAAGATCTAGCGTGGTTTTAGTGAAATTTCTGTAGCAGTATACAAACACATGAACAGACAATGCTGAATATTTTGCCCTCTAACAATGAATCTGTAGAGGAGTCATTGGCAATGTGAAATCAAGATTGGATGGTACCTTTGTTATACCACTAAAATAATCACTAACATAAGTTACTTGGGCATCACAGAGCAGGAGATCTGTTACTGATCAAATTCTCACAAAGTTCAATGTTGACTTTCCTTTATCAGATCTGCTTTATTGTCTCCCAGGTGACTGATGAAGGGATAGATCAGGCATCATCACAGGTAGAAGCTGCTGCAAGAAGAGAAACACTAATTCTCAGACTCCCCAAGGTAATGCTTCTCTTCAGTCACCCATCTGTGTTTAGCTTCCTCTCCCAGAGTCCCCTTCAAACATTACTTGGCTCTGGTTCTCCCTTCATTGGAGCAAGCTGCATTATTTTCATTGCAGATGATCTTTTAGTTTAACACAAACAATGTTCGCCTTGTTTTTCACAGGCTTAATCTGCTGCTTTTTTCAATTTTGCGCTCTCTTCCAATCACTTTCTATTATTTTTCTGTACATGATTCTTGTACTTGGCATAGATCCAAATACTTGGTATTATGCAGTTGAAGCATCTGGAAACCCTTCAGCTGTTGGCTGCTATTCCTATTTCGGCTATGTAATTTTTATCAAGTCCTTATTTAAAAAATTACAGACACATTTTTCTAAATCCGTACCTTTTCCTCTGCATGGACTTTCAGGGTACCAGGGATTTTAGCCCAGAGCAGATGGCTATCCGCGAAAAAATCTTCTCCACCATTATCAGCTGCTTCAAGCGTCATGGAGCTGTGACGATAGATACCCCTGTGTTTGAGTTGAAGGTGAGGGCAAATCTGTGTTACTTGTGTGCTTGAAAGTGCAACTGATCCCTATGTCTGACAAGTTCTCCATATCTGTGGCCCGTTTCTCCTTAAAGCTAAAATTCTGCACTCAGACTGCTTGGATGTTATTGACTTTTGTAAAATGGAAGCAGCAGTGTTACAAAACTAACTGACCCTTGTAAGATGGCAGAAAATATGTGTAATGTTGACCTTGTTGATCTTAGTGTTGTTTAGTTATGGATCACAGTTGTTTCCATAAAAACTGCAGTTCTGCAGTAAACCTAAAATGTGGATCCATAGTCCCTTACTTCCAATGAAATATTTTGTTTACAATATACATCTTATACTCAGGATGATAACGTTGGGAGTTAGCTCCAACACGTTCCCCAGCATCAAGCTGGATGAACCATTCCCAAGATCACCTTGGGAGTGGTTTCTTTAACTTTACGTAGCAGGACATGGCTAACTACTTGAATGGTTCATGCATTTTGTCTAAATTACATTGACACAGACCTGTTTAACATTGGGCTAAATGGCACAGAAACTAATTCTGCATTGGAATTCCTATACTTGGTAAAATAAGTACTGGATTCCACAGTTATCACTTCCAGTATGTTTTCTCTCTTTTCTCATAGAACAGCAGATCTGAGCCATGCCCCTTATATGTGCAGGGACACTGAAAACATAATAGAGGCCTTATCTACAATTCTGTGCCCTGGCTAACTAAACAAATTGTTCTTGGATGCAGAATTGGGGGTTGGTTGGTTGACTGATTGATTGCACTTTTATCTCGGGTTGGTTGGTTGGTTGATTGATTGATTGCACTTTTATCTCAACCATCTAGTAACAAAGTGCTACTCTGGGTGGCTAACACTGATTTAAAAAAAAAACAACATCCACCAGAACATACCCTCAATTAAAAACATAAACGAAAAGACTCCAAAGGCAAATAAAACTCACTTAAAAACACCTGGGTCTGCAAAAATATTTAAGAGAGGAGATACTGCCAAAGGCTTCCTTGAAAAGCTCACCTTTCGCCCATTTCCTGAAGGTCAGAAGGGAGGGCGCCTGGAGAACATCAACAGGCAAGGCATTCCATAGTGTTGCAGCCACCACTGAAACAGCCCAGTTCCTGGTGGTTATTTTCCAGATCTCTCTAGGGGTGACCACTGGCAGTCACAAAGCCTAGATAGATGGATCCAGGTAGACATTGCCCAGGTAGATGATGTTAAGGAGAGACACTCTGACATGTAATGAGGTCCCAGCTTTGTGAAGGGCTGTATAAGTCAACATGAGCACTTTGAACTTGGCATGGAAGGATTTTTATTTCATTAAGTAAGAGAACTCAGAACTAGTTCAAATGCTTACAGCAACTGTTGGTACAAAGTATGCATCATTTCTCGGAAACTAGAAGCATAATAATAGCCAGTGTGGGCTAGTGGACAGAGTGATGGACTAGTCAGAAAACGTGGGTTTGAACACCCTCTTGGCCATAAAAACTAAGGGTGGGGGTGGAGACTGGTAAAACCCACTCTTTAAATATCTCACTCACCCTAAAAGCCCTATTAGGGTGCTGAGCATCACTAATATTCATTTCAGCTCCTTGAAGGGTTCTTTCTGCTTTCTTTAGCAGCTGTGCTTAGCTATGCTGGACAGCATGGCGCATTCTTATAGGCTAAGCCAGTGACTGCAAACCTTTTTGGGCCTGAGTACCTAAACGGGGCGGGGGACTGGTGGGCAGCAGCGAAACTGGAAATAACGGAACTGGAAGTGGCGGCAGAAGGGGGAATCCCAGGCACGGAGGTGCCTCAAGACCTCACTCCAGATCTGCTGCCAGCGCCCGCTGCTCCGCATCCTGGCCTGCCGCCTGTCAGGGCTCCAGCACCATGGCTGCAGCCACCTCTGCAGGTTTGGCTGCCGGGGGGGTGGTGGTGTTAGGGATCTGGCAACTTAATGGCTCGTGTGCCTGCAGAGAGGGCTCTGTGTGCCCGCTGTGGCACGCATGCCATACGTTTGCCATTGCTGGCAATTTATCCACACATTTTACTTCTTCTCAAAGATTAAACATGTAGAGAAGTATGTAGATAGCCTTTGGAATTTAGAACTAACTCCTTTTAGTGCTGGCCTGGTATAGTTAGTGGTAAGGGAGCAAGGGACTTGCACCTTAATAACATCTAAAGGACACCACTTCATCTGCTTGGATTAAAGCATAAATAATTGTGATTAGACACATAAATCAGAATAACTTGCTTAAAAGTTAAAACCCTTGCCATAACTTGTTTTCTTTTTCAAGGAGTTTTTGTCGGACAACTGGGGAGAAGATTCAAAGCTTATATATGACCTGAAAGATCACGGAGGAGAACTGCTGTCTCTTCGCTATGATTTGACTGTATCCTGTCAAAAGTTTTACATCGTAGGGTATTGCCAGTCACTCGGCAGGGCTGTGAAATTAGGATATGCTAAGCAAACCCAGTTGCCTGTGATTTTTCTTAACAAAAATCTGACAGGTGCCATTCGCTCGTTATTTGGCTATGAACAAAATTACAAATTTGAAGCGTTACCATATTGCGAAAGTTTACAGGCGTGACCAGATAATCACGACCAAGGGGCGCTACAGAGAGTTCTACCAGTGTGTGAGTATTTGCAGACTATTCATCTTCTGTTGAAGAGAGAGGCAGGGCTATGCAATCATAACCCTTAAAACAGCAGCATGGACAGCACCAAAGGGTTCTTCATCTGAAATGTCAGAGGGAGTGGGGTCGAATACGTTTTAACTCTGTGGGATTGAATACGTTTTAACTCTGTTCCCACTTCAGGATATGGGGGTTGCTAATTATTTCTGCTATTGCAGTTACTGTACAGGGTAGTGCTTTTGAATTTTGACAACTGTTCTTCTGTGGTATAGGATTTTGACATTGCTGGAAAGTATGATTCCATGATTCCTGATGCTGAGTGTCTGAAGATTATGCATGAGATTCTAAGTGCCCTGAAGATTGGAGATTTTCTAATCAGAGTAAGAGAATTTGATACCCTTTCTAAGCAGGCCAGGTGAGATACATGATGCAGGCTCCTGCCTATGAAAAATTAGGAATGGGAAAAGAATCTTCATAGGGAATGATATGTTGTAGTAAGTGCATTTATTTCCAAGTAGTGGCGGCTTGTGATTAGATTAGGGCTCCTGAAAATGTTGGGAGCCTTATCTATAAGGTGCCCTTATTTTATAAGAAACTACTGAATTTCCACTGAATGTTTCTTCTTTTCCTATAGATCAATGACAGGCGAATATTGGACGGGATCTTTACAGTATGCGGTCTTTCTGAAACCAAGGTTAAAACAGTTTGCTCCACTCTTGACAAACTGGGCAAGGTAAACCATGAAACCATACTAGCAAAAGGAGGAATACATTTTTTCTATTGCTCAGCTATGATTTAGTAGAATATATGCTAAACAAGGAAGCAACTCGACAATGATGTTATCCAAGATTGGATTGAGCTGAACAGGGCCACTTGAAACTGCAGACTAATATTTAGAAAGATCCTTGCATCCACACATAGGGATTGGTGGTTCTAGGTCAAGATTCTCTGCCACACCTCAAAGTGACCCTATTTAATGTATTCGCGAAGGCTTTCACGGCTCTGATCTAATGGTTGTTGTGGGTTTTTTGGGCTCTTTGGCCGTGTTCTGAAGGTTGTTCTTTCTAACGTTTCGCCAGTCTCTGTGGCCAGCATCTTCAGAGGACAGCACATATACTGATGAAGCTATTTGTAGTACGTAGTGATTTTGGAATATAATGTATTACTAACAAATTTATTTGAAGATTGAAGACTACCTATCCTCCTTAGATAACATGGAAGGAAGTGAAAAATGAGATGGTCAATGAGAAGGGAGTTTGTCCAGAAGTTGCAGATCGTATTGGTGAATATGTTCAGCTCTGTGGTGAGTTTCAGTGGAGGTAAAATATAGAGTGCCAATACTTAGTCTCTAATTGCATACCACCAGGCTGGCTGTAATCCCGTGCATGTTTTCTTGGAAACATCGCTTCCTACTGGTGTTTACTGTGTTCCACCCAAGTTTGTTTAAAATTCAAAGTATGTTGAAATAGCTTTTTACACTGGACAAGAAATGCTAGTTGTGAGCTACACTGAGGTGGATGGATTATATACTCTGAAAAGTGCACTAGTGCTCATGTATCTTCCAACTTGACCATGTCTTTTCTGCAGGAGGAGTACCTCTGATTGAGAAGCTGGTACAGGATCCAAAGCTATCTCAGAATAAGCAGGCCATGGAAGGGCTGGAGGACATGAAGCTGCTATTTGAATACCTTACCCTGTTTGACATCTTAGACAAGGTGTGCTGGGATTGTACTGCATTAGGTCTTTCTGAGCAACCTGGGATGCCCTAGCTTTTGTATACTAACAGGAGCTTTGGCCTGTTTCACAGATCTCCTTGGACCTGAGTTTGGCTCGCGGTCTAGATTACTACAGTGGAGTAATCTATGAAGCAGTATTGCTGCACCAAGATGAACATTTAAATGTGGGCAGCATAGCAGGAGGTGGGCGCTATGATGGACTTGTAACTTCATTTATTCCAAATTGGAAAAAAGTACCCTGTGTAGGAGTCAGCATTGGTGTTGAAAGGATCTTCACTGTCTTAGAGAGGAATACTGAGGTAAGGTGTGTTCTTAATGTACTGTCAGATGGCATCAAGGGAATGATATTATCAGGGATTTTGAATACTGATTAACACATGTGCAGAAAATGAAAGGGGTGCAGTTTATACTATAGAAGGAGCAGAGGCTTGTACTCATAGACTATTTATTTAGACTTATTAGTAATGGATATTAACTGCGTGGATTATTCAAACCAGGGCTTAGGAACCTGTAGCCCACTAGATATTGCTAGACTGCAATTCCCATCAGATTTCACGAGTGTGACTGCTACTGAGGATGATAGGAATAGTAACTCACCAATATCTAGAGGATTGAAGATTACCCAATTGGCATTTAACCCAATATTTAATTTGTTATGCCTGTCAGCTGCAACCTAACACAACCTAAGCATTTTAACTGTGACATTCTATTCAGCCATCCCTATTAATATCTGAGTTCAGAACCTTTTAGCAATAAAGTAAACTTTTTTAAAGCAGGCATTTGACTTAGTGTGATAGCAGGGGAAAATCCTGTTGGCATAACATCATGCTGGCACTACCCAGATTGGACACTGGAAATATTTAATGTAAACTCATGGACGTTTTCCTATCCTACCCCTTTCAGTTCCTGAGACACCCTAGGGCTCCCTTTTGCCCTGAAGAAGCCTTTGGTAACCTCAGGAGGAAGGAAAGTGTATGATGATGACGATGATGACGATGATGATAATGATGATGATAATG